CTCCTCTCCTCTCCTCTCCTCTCCTCTCCTCTCCTCTCCTCTCCTCCTCTCCTTTTTCTTTTTCTTTTCCTTCCCCCCCCTTCTTATTTATTCCCTTTTCCATTGTTTTTTCCCCTTCTTTTCCTTTTCTCCTTTTCTTTTTTCCCCTTCCCACTCCCGCTACCCTTACCCATCCAGAGACTTTAAATCTCTCCTCTCTCCTCCCGTCGTGGTCCATATCCCAAACGGGACCCGATGTTTCCCGCATTCCTTTCTCAGGATCTCGTGGGGGTTTTGCGCGGTATTTGAGCTGGGTCTGCGCGGACTTTGCTCTCCAGCACAGCCGGGCCCAGACCGGCGGCCGCATCCGAAGATGTGGGGCCAGGGCTGCTCGGGACGGACAGGGGCAGGGGCTGCAGAGAGGGGCCGATCTCCGCCCTCAGACGGCGCACGGAACGCCGCGCTGCTCACCCGATGCCTGTTGTATTACCTGTGAATACAGGGGTGGTTTTCTTGTTTTGCTTTGTTTTTTTCAACTCGTGGCTGTAGACAACGAAAGCCTGAATGAAAGGAATCAGGGAACGTGACGGAGAGATAGCTTAATAAAAGCCAGCACGTTGCTTTCGTGTTGGAAATCACCGGGGATGTCTATGAGTCCCTGCGGTCTTCAAAAAGGGGCCCCAAACTCAGCGAGTGGGATTGTTGGCTCTGTTCTATTGGGGTTCTTTTTTCTCTCTCTTTTTTTTTTTAGTGCTGTGTTTGTTTCTGTTCGCACCCGTTCGATGGACACATTTCAGCCCCACGTGCTCTGCCAAAACGCAGCATGTCTCCCCATTCAGCCAGCGGCTGGAAAAGCTCCCGATCCTTGCAGGAGTCACCGCAGGGAGGGCTCCGAAATACCGGAGCTGGTGCGTGTGATACGTTCAGGATTAGAAACACGCAGGAAAGAGCCATTGCCTATTCTCATCTGGCTGAAACAAACAAACAAACAAACAAACAAACCCCAAACCTTTATTGACGAAGTTTTGTCACTCTGAGCTGGCTGTCACCTACAGCACAAAAGCAGACGGCTCCGTCTGACCACAGCCTGGGCTGTGTTGTGCGTGCCTTCATCTCTCGGCACGGCCGTGCCCCGCTCAGGCGCTGCTATTCATTCAGACGGAACGAGCCCCGCTCCACTGACATGAACGGGGACTGGCTTTTTCTGACCTTGACACACTGTCAGAAGAACCTTGTCCAGGATCGGCTCTTCAGTGCAGGTGTAACACGTGTAAGCATTTTGTCCACCGTTCGCTGTGTTTAGTACAAAATGCTGCTTTTTATTTATTTATTGACTTACTTGTTTTGACAAGATCCAATCTGATTCCGTTTAGTACATCGCTGGAAGAAAGAAGTTCAAGAATGCAGTTGGAGATGCATGCCATCATCTCAACAAAAGGTGATTCCTGGAGGTTGTGAGGCAGTGTGATAGCTGCTTGCTTTAACAGCTGCTCAGTGTTACCGGTGTGTTCCCTCCTTATTGTCAATGCTGTCCGCTTTTGGCCAAGGGGTGGCAGAAGCACCAGGCAGGAGTGGTGCCAGCTTTGGCCTGAGGTCTTGCTGAGGACCTTCTCATGCTGGTACTGAGCAAAGCAGTGTTTCTGCAACACCTTTTTATGGGCTGGGGAAGCTTTTCCACCTTAGCCTAGGAGCTAAGCGAGAATGGTGTTAAACTGAGACAGGGGAGGTTTAGGTTAGATGTTAGGAGGAAGTTTTTCACACAGAGGGTGGTGAGGCACTGGAACAGGTTGCCCAAGGAGGCTGTGGATGCCCCATCCCTGGAGGCATTCAAGGCCAGGCTGGATGTGGCTCTGGGCAGCCTGGTCTGCTGGTTGGCGACCCTGCACACAGCAGGGGGGTTGAAACTGGATGATCATTGTGGTCCTTTTCAACCCAGGCCATTCTATGATTTTATGATTGTATGATTGTATGATTGTATGATTGTATGATTCTATGATTCTATGATTCTATGATTCTCTCTGTTAGAGAGGAGATGTAATATGAGGGAAAATGTTTGGTTCCACTGGGCTCGGTGCTCTTCCTTATGCACAAAACATACAGAAGTGAGCTGCCATAGCAGCAAAATGGCCCCATGAGTGTATGAGAGGAGCAAATTGAAGCTAAAATTGTCTCTTAAGCTGTCAAGAGCCAAAGAAACAGCTCTCTGTTTTCACCTTCCTTCATCAGCACAACTGGTTGCATCTCCTCAGCAAGGAGTGAAGCATCCTTGTCTGCACTGGATTTAGTTTAGAAAATTACGTTTTACTCCTTTATTGTTTTTCCCTGAAATTCCAGCATGACGCAGTGTGGATGTTTAGTTCTAATTCTGAGTTTCCTGAGTAGCATTCCTGTAGGGTTTTTTTGTCTTTTTTTTTTTCTTCCCATTTTGCTATTTATCTGTATGTGGCAGTCCAATGCTATCCTTCATTTCTTTTCCATTTTCCACATCTTTGTTTTGATGTAGAACTCCTGATAAATGAAGACATCCTGGCTGAGCTTTAGTGATCAGAAGAACACAATGCCCCATCCCTGGAGGCACTCAAGGCCAGGTTGGATGGGGCCCTGGGCAGCCTGAGCTGGTAGAGGGCAGCCCTGCCCATAGCAGGGGTTGGGGCAGCGTAGGCTTGCAGGCCCAAACCAAACCCTTCTGTGATTCTTGATTCTTATGAATGATGAATTATGAATGATTCTTATCATCATTCTGATTCTATTATTCTGTGATTGATTCTATGATTCTATGAAAACTTGGGTATGGCTTCCTAAGTGATGCCTTACTGGAACAAAAACTGCCCCCGTGTTGTTCCTTTGCCCCATCCCAGGTGCAGAAGAAAGATCTTGCAGAAATCCCAGCTGGGATGTTGCCAGCAGAGGAACGCCCCTGCATCACCAAACCCCAGAGTTCTGTCAGTGGGATCTGGCAACGGAAGAGACCCCCGCCCCAAGATGTTCACATTCTGCTGAACGACCATTTTGATACTCAGCAAACTTTCGCGTGGTGACAACATCTGCCAGCCTGGAAAATCCACACCAGAAACTTGGCAAGATTCTTGCTCCGTTTGTCACGATTTCGGTGGGCCGCATCCCTCTCTCCTCTCGCTGGGACTCACACTGACGGAGAAACAGCTGAACTCTGCATTCGGAGGAACGCATCAAAGCCCCGGCCCGTCCTGGCAGCCGTGGTGTCAAAGGTTGCTGTGAGCACCTCCCCGGGTGCCCGGTGGCTTTGTGCGAGAGGGCGGCCCCAGCAGATGGCCCGAAAGCGCCCCTGGTCCAGGCAGAGAGGGACGGCAGCACGGAGCCATAGATGTCTCATTAGCAAACGGGGGGGGGGGGGGGG